GAAGAAGTCGATACGCTGTATGGCTCTTAATTTCTTTCTAAATGGAGAATTCTTGTATAGGAGGACTCTGGATTTGGGTCTTTAAAAATGTGTGGATGCTTCGGAAGCGGTGAGACTTATTGAACAGATACATGCTGGAGTTTCCGGTACACACATGAATGGACTTACTTTGGCGAGAAAGGTTCTTTGAGCTGGTTATTTCTGGATGACTATGGAGAATGACTATTGAAAATTTGTACAAAAATGCCACAAATGTCAAGTGCGCGACGATTTAATACGGGTGCTACCTCACGAACTTAACGCTATGAGTTCACCTTGGCCATTTGTAGCTTGGGGAATGGATGTCATCGGTCCTATAAAGTCGTCCGCTGCTAATGGACACAGATTCATTTTGGTTTCCATTGATTATTTCACCAAGTGGGTGGAAGCAGCCTCTTACAAGTCGGTAACCAAGAAAGTGGTGGCCGATTTTGTCCGCAACAATCTGATATGTAGATTTGGAGTTCCAGAATCCATCATTACTGATAACGGTGCGAATCTCAACAGTCATCTGATGAAGGAAATATGCAAACAATTTAAGATTATCCATCGAAAGTCAACTGCTTATCGCCCCCAAATGAACAGAGCTGTAGAGTCCACCAATAAGAATATCAAGAAGATTTTGAGGAAAATGATCGACAAACAGCGAGGTTGGCATGAAATGTTGCCATATGCTCTACTAGGTTATCAAACAATGGTCTGAACATCGAGTGGGGCTACTCCATACTTGCTAGTATGTGGAACAGAGGCAGTCGTGCCTGTTGAAGTCGAGATACCATCATTGAGGATCATCCAAGAAGCCAAATTAAGTAACGTCACATGGGTTAGCAAACGGATTGATCAACTATCTTTGATTGACGAGAAGAGAATGGTCGTCTTCTGCCATGGCCAGTTGTATAGACAGAGGATGACTCGCGCTTTTCACAAAAGAGTAAGAGCTAGAAATTTTGAAGTTGGTCAGTTGGTTCTCAAGCGTATTTTCCCTCATCAAGACGAGTACAAAGGAAAGTTCACACCAAACTGGCAAGGTCCTTACATGATTCGTAAAGTACTATCTGGAGGTGCTTTGGTCTTGTTAGAGATAAATGGCGTTGTATGGCCCAAGCCCATCAACTCAGATGCTGTCAAGAGATACTATGCTCGAAGTTTCATTCTTGCTTTTTTTTGTTATTTACTTGTAATCGTTCTGCTTGCTTGTATTTGTTCAGATTTGAATTATCCCTCTTGTAATGAACTACGTCTAACCTAAATTCTCGACAACAAGATACGTAGGTGGCCTATGTCGGCTTCGGTCACCCCATTTACCCCTTTTATCGTTTCTTTGTACCTGAACTACGTTCGACCTGAATTCTCAAGAGTGAGATACGTAGGCGGCCTCGGCCGGTTTCTTTGTAAATTTTATTCTTGTTAACCTTTAAGGGGAACTACGTTTGACCTGATTCATGCCTCAACGGGATACGTAGGCGCCATAAGGGCTCGGTCATATCTCTCATAAGATTTCTATTCCTCCCTTACAATAGAAACTGGGACAGAATTTTTGAGAGGGAATCAAAAATTCTCCAGAAGAAGCCTTCTCTTCAGCAAGTCAAACTAAAAACATTTCGAGATTTGCGACTGGGACAGAATTTTTGAGAGGATCTCAAAAATCCCGCGATCTGTTCAGTTACAATGAAAAGATAAACAAGACAGTAAACTGGGACAGAAATTTTGAGGATAGCCTCAAAATTCCGTTACGGGTCTTCCTCACAAGTCCAGAGTGCCTCTTAAACTCATCAGCAAATGTCGGACTCAAAGGAGCTCGTTGAGCCTGATATGACATGACTTGACAGTGACTTTTTCAGGACGTTTTTTTTTCAAGATTTCTTATTTCTCTTAAAATTTCCCTTTTATGTTTCATTTGTTTTGGCATAAGATATTTTTTCTTATCTATCAAGAGTCGGGAAATCGGGAAATCACACAAGATATCAAGACAAGGAGCAAACAACTGAAGGAATCGACACAAATCAGTATGTTTTAAAACTGACAATTTTTCTGTGGATGCAGGTTTATAGCTTTGCTTTGAAATCGACCGAATTCTCCCGATGGACGAATACGGAGAGCTCCCAAAGAAGAGAAAACTACCTCAAAAACCAGTGATTTTACCGAAAGCAGGAGGCAGTTCATATCGTTTGCATCAAGATGCTTGTGAATGTGTTTGTTTATTTCAAGTCATTCCCCGATATATGAAATTTACAAAAGTGTCTGGCCAGATTCAAGGGTGAATCAAACAGGAATCTCAGCAAAGATTTCACGATTTCTGTAGAGGATGCTGTTTGCATTGCGTTATCAAAGCAAGATAATTATTGTCGATCAAGACAATGCATTACCTCATAAGAGATAGTTATGCTATTATTATTTTATCATTATCGATCAAGTCGATATATTATTTGGAGGTCGTCTTGCCGTTATCATCAACAGAGACGATATGAGTATTCATGCATTGCGGAAAATCATGCATTGCGAGTCAACAATTGTGCACGATGAGAAGAATCCATGCCTCGTCAAAATTTATACATCGCGAGAGGATTTCATACCTCGCTGAAATTTAGACATCGTGAGAAGAATTTATACCTCGTTGGAATGCATGCATAGCGAAAACCATGCATCGCGGAAATTATGTATCGCGGAAGTCATGCTGCAAAAATCATGCATTGCGGAAATCATGCATCGCAAAAAAGTCATGCATTGCGGAAATCATGCATCGCAAAAAAGTCATGCATTGCGGAAAATCATGCATTGCGAGCCGACAATTATGCACGACGAGAGGATTTCATGCCTCGTCAAAATTTATACATCGCTAGAAGATTTCATACCTCGCTGAAATTTAGACATCGCGAGAAGAATTTATACCTCGCTGAAACTTATGCATCAGGAGAAGAATCCATGCCTCACGGAAAAGCCATGCATCGTGGAAAATCATGCATTGCGAGTCAACAATTATGTGCGACGAGAAGATTTCATGCCTCGTCAAAATTTATGCATCACGAGAAGGATCCATGCCTCCTTGAAATTTGCGCATCGCGAGAAGATTTCATGCCTCGCTGAAAGTTATGCATTGCGAGAGGATGTCATACCTCGTAGAAACTTACATATCGTGGGAATATATTCATGCCCCGCAAGAGGACATACACGGATAAAGAAAGAGCAATATTTATCCATCGGCCTCAACCGCACTCTTTTATTTTGATAAAAGTAAACATCATGAAGAGCATCGAAGATGACGACGAAAGAAACATCAACATCGCATCAGCATTTATTTATTTATTTCGACATCAAATATAGAATACATGGAAGATGATATTACAAAACACTAAGACATAAGCTTTATTTGCTAAACATCAGACCGATCGAGTCGACGTCGAATATTGAGGAGAACAGTGAAGTGTCAACATGGTAAAAAGACACTGTCTCCCAACCTAATTGCATTTTTAAGATGACGAGTTTTATCTCAGTCTTTGTCGAGAGCATTCAAAAGGATGAATTCTCCAAAAACCACAGGTGCGGACGTCATCACAAAGGACGCAGCACAACGTGGAACTTTTTCTTAGCAGCGAACTGGGACACAGTCCAAAGAGGAGTGTCAAACTCTTAGGACGCGAGCAGAGGATCGACTTCCACCACAATCGAACCACCCCTCCCGAGGCATGTGGGTTTTCTTTAGTTCTGTCAGTTTCTGTCTCGCATTCGGAAGTTTTGTTTTATCGGAAGCAAGTTTCCAATCTGAGTGACAACACGCCAAGAGCTTTGGAAATTATGTCCGCATAAGTTCTTAGTTAGGGGTGTGAAGCGCGCCGCATTCATGGCTAAGAGGTTACAAGCCTCCTTTTCATACTCATTAATTTTCCACTCGTCCCAAAACCGAAGGTTGTCTAGCATAATAGATTTCTTTTTCCACCGATCGAGTCGAACTACACACAGCCTGATTCCAAAGGTCTAAGGATATGTAGGCGGATTCAATGTTGAAAACTCGGCTGTATCCCAACATTCGCTCTCGAATTCTATTCTCGAGCATTTCGATACTTTCATAATTTGGTATCGAGGTGGATTTTGATTCTTTCAAAATCACGCGGTAAATCAAGCTTATCGAACTACAAGTGGCCTAAAATTCTCATATAGCCCGAGACATGTAGGAAACCCGTTTCAAGGGTTCGACCATAATTTCTAAACCCTTTGTCGAATCCTTCTTTAAAAAAAGTGAATGGAGTTGGTCTAAATTGGTTCGGTCAATTTCATTTTCCTCGAGTTGCTTGCACCAACCCAAGTAAAATAAGGAACAGTTGTTGACACCCAATTTTTGACCCGCGTCGGTATAAATTAATTATGAGCTTCCTAAATTTTCCAAATATTTTAAATTAATTAGTTTTATAAATTTTACGAATATAATAATATAATACATGAACTTTATGTTACTTTGAATACGTTTTAACATAATTTTCAATAATATATTTTTACCTAATTATGTATATAAGTGGTATATTCTATGATTATTCAAAAACCAAAATAATATATATTTTTGTTTATTAAGCAATCCATTAAACTAGTTTACTTTTGTATTTCGAATCACTATTTTAAAACTTAAATAATTTTATTACTAAATAAATAAGCTCGTTAATAATTTATACCAATTTCGTTTTGTCTTAAATCAATTGGCTAGTTATTAATTTGAACTCATTTTCCCTTTAATTTGGAAGAATCAGATTTGGGCCCATACCTTTACCCAATTCCCAGGCCCAACCCCCCTTTAATTTAGTCCAACCCACATGATCAGTGGCCCATTTTGTTTAAATTAACATCCCAGCCCACTAACTTAATTCCTAACCCGCCCAATTCCCTTTGACCCGTTGACCCGACCCCAACCCGCTTCCCCTTTTCTTCTTCCCTTCCCAGAACCCACGCCACAATCCCAGCAAAAAACATAGACCATACATTACCAAAAACCCAGCAAAAACGAAAACCCCCCTCCACGCTGAAACCCGTCAAATATTCCCTTCCCCCCTCACGCCAGAACGGACGTGGCAAACCCAAGGGAGCAGAACGGAAATCACGCGAAATTTCAAAACCTACGCGCGAGAGATTCGACAGAAACAGCAGCCACGCTGTCTCGCTCTCTCTCCTCCTCTGCCTCATTCTGCTCTTGTGCAGTTGCTTTCGGCGAAAGCAGACCTGCGTGTTCATCCTTGGTTGCGGGAGATTGAGCCACGTAGTGCAAAAAGGACTACATTTCATGATCCGAGGCGTCAATTTCTCCCTTTCCCCTTTTGGGATGGGACGAAATAAGGGGAATTCTTCACAGAATATGGTTTGCTTCGTTATAGGAAAAAATTCAAAAATTTGAGTTTAGGTGGGTTTCGAACCCGATTTCGATTCCGGGTTTCCGATTCCTTTGACCTAATCTCTCCATCTATATATTGTCGCTTTCTTCTACTTCAAGGGGGGATTTTTTTTGAGAAAAATTTTTCTAGCGACTTAAGAAAGAATCGACGAACTATATACATAAGAGGCCGATTTCTGTTCGAGGTTAGATTTTTGGGGTTGGAAAATTTTGTTGAAAATTTTCAAGAGAGAAACTTGGGGTGGAGGAAAAATCTTGCAAATATTTTTGGTTCTCTTCTGTTTTGTTGTAGGAGAACAGTGGTTTGGACGATTTTTCTTTGAGAGTTGGAGAGTTATCACGAAGATTCATAAAGGTTTTCTGGAGAAAACACTTTTTTTTTCGTCTGTTGTAGGAGAACCATCGAGATTTTTTCTTTTGGTTATCTTCTTGTTCGTTGTCGGGAGAAGTAGAGGAGGTGTGTTGTCATTTTCCTGTTCAAACGAACTAAGGGAGAGCCTTAAGCGGTCTTAGAGAGAGTTTTCCAAGATTGCGATGAGCACAAAGTTGGCAGATTGGCGAGTTAACCGACCCCGCAGCTTCCATTTCATCGTTTGTTGTTCGTGTCTTCGTTTGGGGTGGAAGTTATCATTGTCGCTGCTCATTCTCATCTCACTTCACTGATCTCAGAGAGGTAATGCCCCTATATATTTTTGTTCTGCTTCAATCATCCGATGATTATCTGTTGGTTTCCTTGTTTCGTTTGTGTTCTGGCTCCTAGTTAAGTTTTATATTTTTCCTTGATCGAATCTTGGCGTTTCGGTATTTTCGGACTGTTTATAGGCTGTGTGGTGTGTTGTTTTGGGTCGACATGGACATTGTTTCCATTGGTGTATCTAGTCGCAGAGAGGCATATTAGATTTATTTGTCGTCTTGCTCGTAGGATAGTTTTGTCCCTTGTTTAGTTTGTTACTGCTGTATTAAAATTTTTCTGGTTTGAATGAGGTCAGCCAGTCGGTTGTCGCTCCAAGTGATTTACTCATGTGATATGTTCGTCTTCGAAAATCCATGAACACAGAAGATGGTGTGTGAGTTTGCTTTGTGCTATCTGTGGGATTGTATTTTATCCTTCCTTTGGGTTCGTTTGCGAAGCCGCGTCAAGTTTGTCTCTTGGTATTTTGGAGTCGGTTATATGAAAATGCGATTCAAGTGAATACGTGTGGGCTTTGTATATTTAGAAACTGTCTTTTAGTTTCGAAGCTATTATCCTCTTTGTTTAAACATCTCCTTGGTTGCATTTGTTTCATTCTCTAAGTGTTTTACTCATTTTGAACTCGTTTTGTTTTAGTGTGCATAGTCTGGGGATGCTTGCAAGTTTTTTTTTATTATTTATAACTGCTTCCAAAGCAGCATGCCATCCAAGTTTGTTGACATTTCTTTTCCTTCTCTTAATAGCTTATGTACTACTTTTTGATTGCCTCAATACATGACTTGTGTAGATTTTTTTTTAGTATTTAGAAAGCTCTTTGTGGGATAGGTTTGTTCTCGTAAGTATAAATCTTTGTGGCACATTTCATCATTTTTGTCCACCTACTGTGATCCTTTTATATGTGTGTGTGTGTGTGTGTTTATTTTGCTACCATCTTGGTCGTTCCGTTTTTGTTGACTTATTTTGAATAGGAATTTAGTTTGATGTCTCATATTGTTGAAAGTATTATTTGTCTTCTAAGGCATAGTTTTGAATTATGCATTATTATTTCGTTTATTTGCTTGATATAGTTGTAATTCTGTTACTTCCATCAAGGAAATGAGAACTTGGTAAGGAGAGGGAATTAATTAGTACAGGAACAGAGAAATAAGTTGATCTACGTAGCGTTTATGCTTCGGCATTTTATGGGGTTCATTATGTCGGGCGTGTGATGGTGCGTTTCCAATGAAAATTGAGAATCTATTAGAGAGCATGTTCTAACTTATTTATTTTTCTTCTGGCATGTAAATCTGCTCGAGTTCCCTACGAACTCCCCCTCTTTGCATCTCGAGAAAGCCATGAAGGCTCAAAAATTCTTATCGAGTCAATCCGCCAAAATGGGCAAAATGTAGAAAGTCAAGTGTCGTAAATATTGAAGAAGATGGACTAGAAGACTTTTTCATTATCGTTATTTTGTATTCTTGTAATGGGCATAAGCCCTCGTTAATTTACTTTCTCATATTTTTATTTTATATGTTTAGAGTAGGACAGGTGAACATGGGTCAAGAACCCAAAAGCAGGTGGGTCCAAAACTTGATCAAGGCGAACAGAACCCGAATTTGGACCCAAAAATCTCTCTCTCTCTCTCTCTCTCCCACTCTCTTTCTTTATTACTTGCTTATGTGCATTGCTTAAACGTCGTTAGCCTAGGACTAGAAAACTACAAATCCCCTTTGAAGCGCCTTTCTATTTTATCAAGCTAAAACTAAGTCTTAAGACAACAATATTTCAAACTCATAAAGCTCGTTTAGATAAAAACCTTAAGGAAGTTAAACTTCGAAACAGATCCGCAAATTTGCAAGATAAATAATGAATATTTCAAAACTTGTAAATTTGCCTAAGTATTTTTCTAATAAGTTCAATAACAAAAGATTCGCAAACATTAAGGTAAAATAGTCAAATAAGTTAATCGCCGGAAACCGTAGTTAGCGGAGCGTCTTATGTGCTTTTTCGAAACCTTCCTAAGACGCTAATAGAATCCCGAACCCTTAAAATTTTTCAAACGATTTCCTGTTTAATTATTTGAAAACAAGTTTCTTAATTTTCTCAAAATTAAGTGGCGACTCTTAAAAATGTTGAAAATATCCTTTAAAATCAACGAACTCTTTTCGAAATTATTTTTCGATAAAACAGCTTGTATATGTGCATAAGGTCTCATGCATAGTACATGTGGAGTACTAACCCCATTTTCTTCCCTTTTCCCAAACATTTTAGGTTCCGATCGTTGAAGAGTTTGGAAGGCGACATTGTTGAAGGCTTGGATTCTTCATTTCATCCAAGTAGGGTAGGTCCTCAACTTCCGAGGGCAATGCCACTATCTAGCTTATGGACTTGTTATGAGCTTAAAAAATCTTTCATTTCTTTTCTTTTCAATTGGGTATCATACTTTTGTATGACCTATATGTGGTCTTGTTGTATTGAGGACTATGCCCATATAGGGATAATCGTTTAGATGGTTTGATATGAGACAATCTTTGAGACTATTTCACTATCATATATATATGTATGTACAATAAAAGTAGAAGGCTTTGTAACATTCCTATTTGAAGGTTCTATGTATACTCAATACGACTATATATAATGTGTCTCTAGAGGTCTATGTAAACCTCCAAGTATTTATAATGAAAGTTTTAAGTTTTTCCACATTTTTCAACCTATGAATGTAATGACCTGACACTAAGAGGCTAGTCTTAGTCTTTGAAAAGGACGATGACGATGGTTACGTCTAGGGGTAGGATGTGAAAAACTTGGTATCAAAGCATGAGGTCAAATATTGTTGAGTTATGTCTCTCTCTCTACCACATCTACTCTCTCTCTCTCTACCACATCTATGTAGGTTGTATTCATAATTGTGAAGCGCACCACACTTATGAGTAGGAACCTATATGATGCTAAGAAATTGCACTTTTTCATGGAAATCTTATATCGAGCCATTAGATATACTTATGGTGTGATTTTTCATCTAATCCTGTTGTTTTTATAAGATGCATGAACACTCGAAGGAATGCAGTTCGACGACTTGAAGAGGAAATTGTCCATGCGGGATATCCTCCCCATGGTGAGCAAGTTCCTCCACTTGAAGAAGATGCTAATGTGGAGCAAGCACCGGTCAATCCTCCTCCTTTGACGGATGACAATATAAGAACCGCACTTCTTCAAATGGCCCAAGCTATCACCAATCAATCACAAGTAGCCACGACTCAAGCCCAAGATATCACGGCTCAAGCAAACCGAGAGGTTGTGCTTTGTCCACATCAACAAGTCACTACTATGGCTTTCCGTTTAAGGGACTTCACTTGAATGAACCCTCGTACTATCTACGGGTCTAATTTCGATAAAGACCCCCAAGAATTCCATGATAAAGTCTCTAAAATACTTTTGGCTATGGAGTTGTGCACAAGTGAGAAGGCCTTTTTTTGGCCACATATCAACTCAAGGACGTGACGCAAGCTTGGTTTGTGCAATGGGGGGATAATAGGCCATTGAGGGGTGATCCTGTGACTTGGGAGATCTTTAAGGCGACTTTTCTAGATCGATTCTTTCCTAGGGAGATGAGGAAGGAAAAAGTGGTGGAGTTCATCAACCTTCACCAAGGAGGAAGGAATGTCCATGAATACTCTTTGGAATTCATTAAGTTGTCCAAATATGCTCCTTTCTTGGTTTCCTATCCTAGACACCAAATGAGCCATTTTGTGACGGGGGTGTCAGAGGCCTTACAATAGGAATGTCATTTGGCCATGCTACATGATAACATGAACATTTCTCGTCTTATGGTTCATGCAAGAAGGGTTGAGGAGGCAAGGGATAAGAGAAAAAGTAGAGATGTAAAAGAGCAAAATCATTTGATGGAGGTTATTCAAAGAATAGGCTTGACATATAAGACAAGACTAGATTTAAGAAGCAAGTTTCAAATCAAGTCCCTTCCAAGTTCCCAAAAGCTAGAGGTGATAGAGTGTCTAACCATAAATTCAAGAGGGGAAAAGGTACTAATTAACCAAATAATAAGCCTACATGTGACAAGTGTGGAAAGGGTCATCTTGGTGAGTGCTTGGTAGAAACGGGGAATTGCTTTAATTGTGGCAAGAGTGGTCACAAGATGAGAGATTTTCCAAATTTGAAGGGTCAAGATAAGGGTGGTCAAGTTCAAGCAAGTGGTTCCAGTGATGCTCCAAAGAAGAAACGTGTCTATGCTCTCCGTTCTAGGGGTTAGCAAGAGACTTCTCCTGGCGTGGTGACTTGCATGTTAAAAGAATTCTCTATTGATGTATATGCCTTACTTGATCCCGGCGCTACTTTATCATTTGTTACACCTCTAGTCGCCAAAAAGTTTGATATTTTACCCAATATTTTGTATGAACTTTTTGTAGTGTCTACTCCAGTGGGTGAATCTGTTATTGCAAAAAAGGTGTATAGAAATTGTTCAATAATGTTGCCCAATAGAGTTTCTTATGTTGATCTAGTAGAACTTGATATGCTTGATTTTGATGTTATATGGGTATGGGGATTGATTGCATGAATGTTTTGCCTCCATTGATTGTAGGACAAGGGTGGTGAGGTTTAACTTCCCTAATAAACCTGTTGTTGAATGGAAAGGGGGAAATTCTATTCCTAGAGGTCGTATCATTACATGTATAAAATAATGCAAAATGATCTCAAAAGATTGTCTATATCATATTGTAAGAGTCAATGATTTAGACTCCGAAGTTCCTCCCATTGAGTCGGTCCCCTTAGTGAGTGAGTTTCCGAAGGTCTTTCCTAATGACCTTCTCGGTATTTCTCACAAACGATAAATTGACTTTGGAATTGATTTGATACCGGATACAAATTCCATATCAATTCCTCCTTATTGGATGGCTCTGACCGAATTTAAGGAGTTGAAGGCTCAACTCAAGGATTTACAATATAAGGGTTTTATAAGGCCTAGTATTTCTCCATGGGGTGCTCCAGTTTTGTTTGTAAAGAAGAAAGGGTCCTTGGGAATGTGTATTGATTACTGCCAACTCAACAAGGTCACCATTAAGAATAAGTACCCTCTCCCTCAGATTGATGACTTGTTTGATCAACTCCAAGGGGCAAGCTACTTTTCAAATATAGACTTGAGGTCGGGGTATCACCAACTTAGTTTGAGAGGTGAGGATATACCAAAGATGGCTTTTCGAACTCGGTATGGGCACTATGAGGTCTTGGTAATGTCTTTTGGTCTCACTAATGCTTTGGCAGCGTTTATGGACCTAATGATTAGAGTGTTTTGAATTACCTAGGTTCATTTTTCATGGTCTTCAATGACAATATCTTAGTATATTCGAAGAATGAGGGTGATTATATGGGTTATTTGAGGGTGGTATTTAAAAATCTTAAAGAACATTTAATTACCAAATATAGCAAGTGCGAGTTTTGGTTGAGGTCGGTGACATTTCTTGGGCACATCATCTATAGTGAGGGAGTTGAGGTAGACCCAAGGAAAACAAAGGCGGTGAAAAATTGGCCTAGACAATTGACTCCAACCAACGTTAGGAGTTTCTTGGTTCCAGCAGGTTATTATCGGAGGTTCGTGGATGGTTTTGTGTCCATTGAATCTCCCTTGACTACTTTAACCCAAAAGAGTAAGAAGTTTGAGTGGTCGGAGGCATGTGAGAAAAGTTTCCAATTTTTTAAAGATAGGCTTACTTCCTCTCCGGAGTTGACTTTACCGGAGGGTGCAAAGGGTTTTGTTGTGTATTGTGACACATCCCGAGTGGGTTTGGGGTGTGTGCTCATGCAACACGGAAAAGTGATAGCCTATGTATCTAGGCAACTTAAGGTACATGAGAGAAACTATCCCACTTATGACCTTGAGTTAGCGGTCGTAGTGTTTTCTTTGAAATATGGACGCATTACTTGTATGGGGTTTGAGTCTTTACCGACCATAAGATTCTCCTATATGTGTTTACCCAAAAGGAGTTGAATCTCCGACAAACAAGGTGGTTAGAGTTCTTGAAAGACTATGATATGAGTGTCCTTCATCACCCCGGGAAGGATAATGTGGTTGTGGATGCCCTAAGTCATATAACTATGGGTAGTGTATCCCACCTTGACGAATCCAAGAAGGACCTAGCGAGAGAAGTACATAGGTTGGATAGGTTGGGGTGAGGTTGGAAAGTTCTCCAGATGGGGGTGCTATAGTCCATCATAACTTCGATTCATCTTTAGTGGTTGAGGTGAAATCCAAACAACACCTTGATAAACCATTAATGGAGTTGAAAGAATCGGTTCTCTAAAAGTTGAATGAATTATTCTCCTTAGAGGGGGATGTTGTGTTAAGTTACCAAGGGAGATTGTGTGTTCCTGATGTACATGGGTTGAGGGATTAGATCCTAGAAGAATCCCATGGGTCTCGCTACTTAATTCTTCTGAGTTCAAAAAAAATGTACCACAACCAAAGGAAGATATATTGGTTGGAAGGATTAAAAAGACACATAGCAGAGTTTGTCGCCAAGTGTCCGAATTGCCAACAAATAAAGGCCAAACACCAAAAACTAGGTGACTTACTACACGAGATCCAAATTCCTACTTGGAAGTGGGAAGACCTCAATATGGACTTTGTAGTAGGTTTACCTCAGACTCAAAAGTCATATGATTCCATATGGGTGGCTGTGGATCGATTGATTAAGTCCGCTCAGTCTATTCCCATCAAGTCTACATATTCGGTGGAGGATTATGCAAGAATCTTCATAGATGAGATTGTGTGCCGCCATGGTATTCTGGTATCCATCATATCGGATCAGGGCGCACAATTCACATCTAGATTTTGGAGATCATTCCAAAAAGGGTTGGGTACTACGGTGAAGTTGAGCACCACTTTTCATCCCCAAATAGATGGTCAAGCGGAGCGTACTATAAAAACCCTTAAAGATATGCTTAGGGTGTGCATAATTTATTTTAAAGGATGTTGGGATAGACATATACCTTTGGCGGAGTTTGCCTACAACAATAGTTTTCACTCATCCATTTCCATGGCTACCTATGAAATATTGTATGGTAGGAGGTGTAGGTTTCCAATTGGATGAGTTGAAGTAGGTGAACCATCGTTTCTTGGACCCGAGTTTATTTATAAGACTTTGGAAAAGGTTCATATCATAAGGAACTGGTTGCAAACGACCTATAGTCGGCAAAAGTCTTATGCCGAACATAGGAGAAGGGATTTGGAGTTTGAAGAAGGTGATAAGGTGTATTTGAAAATTTTATCAATGAATGAGGTGGTTAGATTTGGCAAGAAAGGGAAGTTGAGTCCTCATTATGTGGGTACCTATGAAATTTTGCAAAGGGTTGGTAAGGTTTCCTTTCAATTTAAACTTCCTAGTGAATTGGCTTTGGTTCATCCGATTTTCCATGTTTCTATGTTGAAGAAGTGTATCGGTGATCCCGAGTCCACTCTTCTTATTGAGGGTCTTAGTGTCAAGGATAACCTCTTTATGAATAAGTTCTGGTTCAAATTCTTTATAGGCAAGTCAAGAAGTTGTGGATTAAAGAAGTGGTTTCCGTAAAGGAGTTATGGAAGAATCACCTAG